ATATATATGAGTTATACAAGTACAATCAATTGTGTAATTAAGCTCAATCAGAAGAACAAAAAGCACTTAAACAGCAGGGAGATAACCAAGTCGACCCCTTTTCTTCTCTATGAGTCACTATGAATCATCACAGTCAATTTAATACTATTCAGATGTAAATTAYAGAGGAAATATGGCAACCCTTCTTACATGTACACATTATACAATAGAGAGAACTAAATAACTGACTGGAAACTTTACCAAATAAGAGAAAATAAAGCAAAAACAGAACCACTATTAGTTATGTAGCCCATCCAAGAACAGTAATAATTATCAAACATGATTTTAGACTAAAATTCTAGCATGAAATATTTGAATTCTTTCACAGAATGCTAAACTTTCAATTCTGCATGTTGTTGTTTTTTTTGCCTTTTAAATACAAAATGTAAGACATGTGAGTTAAACTTCTCTGTAATGCTGTTTGTTTAATATGAGTGGTGAACAGTGCCACCTGGTGGACATAATCAGAAAAGCTTCTATAGGAGGAGGAAATTGTTGACTTTTAGAGACACAAGGATTTCATCCTTTAAAATAAATAAATAAAAAGAACAATATCCTATCATAGCACAACAGATGATATGTAATCTTCTAAAATTTTCTGCCTCGCTCTAAAAATAGCCCCATCCTTCTTCAGAAGAATGATCTCATTCTCCAGGGCTCGGATTTTAGCCACAGTGTTCTCCTCCCTGTGTTCCAGTTCTAAAATCTTTGTGTGCAAACCCAACATCCGATTCCACATCTCGTCTTTGTCGACATCCGGTCTGGAGTACGAGTGCTCGTAAAATGAAATATGCATTTCCTCTCCAGGTCCCGTCTCTTCCACTAAACAGTCCGCAGGTTTCTCCTCGACCACTTCCAACGAGGCAAACTGAGAAGTCTGACCCGGTGCGGCTCGGACGGCGACAGGATCCACGTTTGCCTCTCTCCTGGAGAAAGGCTTCAGAGTTTCACAACACAGCACAGCACGCTGCTCGCCGATGTGTGAAGATGCTGCTGGCCTTCCAGCGTCAACAGTTACCTCACAGATGCTGATTTGCGTCTCTGGARGACTTGGTTGAAAGTTTTTTTCGGATGCTGGCCCCACAGGAGGCTCAAATGTCCCTTTTAAGTGTTCTGAAACATTTTTATCAGTGTTTGCCTCAATCCGTCTGCACGCTTTCCTCAAAATAAGAGGTCTCTTAGTGGAAGGTGGCACAGATTGTCTGAACTCAGCTTCAGCCTCTGAAGGGCGCCATTTGGACTCGAGGCTTCTTTCACTCCTGGTCGCTTTTTTCTCTTCATCCTGAGCCAGAAGAAAATTGTGCTGATTAAATAAAATCACATATATTAAACACTGGCATAAAAACAATGTTTTCATAGATAATGCAAAAATATGACTAATTTAATATTTTGGCAGCAACTGCTTAAAAGTATCAAAATGAGAGGAAATTCATTACATTATTAACTAAAGAGATAAGAGTAGGAATGGCCGTATTCTTCAAATAACGGATTCCCCATCGAATGTCAAAACAGTCCTCTGTAAAATGGTCGCTGCACAGATACTGATGTCGACTTGGGGTCCAGTCTTCCCGCTTTATGTTGCCCACCCACTTCTGAAGCCTGGGCTTGTCATGCAATGGGAACCTTTGGAAACGAGGAAGAATAAAAGKACATTTCATAAAAGAAACTGACCATTAAAAACGGTCTACAGTAAAATCTACTAGGCCACTGTCAGCATCATTTTAATACTAAACAGTTAAAGTGAACGATGTGAGAAAGATAAACAAACGTACGGGTAAAAGCTGATTCTCTTGCTGTCTTTTCTTGAAGCTGTCCCCCCGCGGTTTGAACAAAACTTTGCAGCACAATAACGTGGCATATCTGCGGTGAAACGGCATGAAAACACCTTATGAAGACAAAAAAAAAAAAATACTAAAATGTTTAAAAACTCGACACTTCCGGGTTGCTCGTAAAACGGAAGTGACGTTTGCTTCCTTTACTCGTGGTTATTTATTTAGTTTTTTTTAAACCGATATAAACTTATATCAAAATAGACGAACAGTCAGTGTTTTACGGTATAAACTTGTAAAATCAGTAAGGAAAATAAAACACTGATAAATGAGAAAAACGCTAATTTGTTCCTTTGTTTTAAGACAGCTATTTTGCACATCAGTAGGAAAACTGCATGAAAGTAAACTCGAACTGATTTATTTATTACAAAATAAATTTAGTCGTTTATATATTATTTAAGTAAAATATGTGTCAACCTTCATTTTTATATCAGAAATCCCGCAAAGCGTATGCGGAAGTACGTGCCAGGTATTCTCTTGTTTCGTATGACATCTTTCTGGAGTTTTCCCCTCAATTCTCCACGTGCGCACAGTTTCGACCAATCCCAGCGGTCTGAGTCACCGTGTCAGTGAACRGACCAATAGCAATGCGAGTCGTGGTGTTACAGCTCAGGAATGCTTTTCGTCAACAACTGCTGCTAGCTTTCGTTTCGCATCAGCTGGAGCTGTTGGCGGGTTGTCAGCAGGATCTCGAGGCTGTCGGTGCTTTGTTAGAACAGGTAACCTTTTCTCTTTTAAGTAAACATTATTTTGTCGCGAATGGCTTGTCCTAAACATGGAAATTGGATAAATCCTTTCATAAAAGCTTTTAAGCGTAAATTGGTTGAAGTTTCTAGCTCCTTCTAGAAAGACAGGGAGGGTGTTTTCCTACTTTTTTTTACGTGAATTCGCTCGCTTTACCTTTTAAAACTAGCTAGCTAAGTGACGTAATAACCATCTCTGKTATTTTCTGTGAGTATTTACTTAAAGAGACCTTTTTAACTTGTTCCTACAGGTTTACAGCCGAAACCATCAGTATGGCTACAGCGCAGTCGGCGCTCCTGCTCGCAGTTCACATTCTGCTCATCTCAGAGTTCATTTTGGCCAAGAGAGACTACTATGACATCCTGGGGGTCCCCAGAGACGCCACGGAGCGCCAGATCAAAAAGGCTTTCCATAAACTGGCTCTGAAGTACCACCCAGACAGAAACAAGGACCCAGACGCCGAGGCCAAGTTCAGAGAAATAGCAGAGGGTAAGTTTGTCCTATCAGGAAGTGCTGCTGTTAGCTTTTACACACCAGGGGAATAAACACAAATCAGCTGGAGTTAATGTAAATATTAGAATACGCTTAAGATTTTTCACTGTAAGATGTTCTTAGTCTTTGTTTTTATGTGATTGTTTCCATCAGCGTACGAGACGTTGTCCGACGACAGGAAGAGACGAGAGTACGACCAGTTCGGTCACGGCGCCTCATCGGGTGAGGGCTACAGAGAAGGAGGAGGGAGTGACGACCACTACAACTTCAGGCAGCACTTCCAGTCCTTCAACTTCAACTTCGACGACCTCTTCAAAGACTACGACCCGTTCAATCAACAACAACAACAACARCATCAGCACCACTTCCACTCCCAGAGCCACGCCGACCAGAAACGACACTTCGACAGCCACTTCCAGGCTCACCGGGAGGCCATGAACCGCCAGCGCCGAGGCTTTCCGCAGGGGGGCTTCGGCGCGGGMGTGTTCGACGACATGTTCGACGACTTGGAGAAAATGTTCTCGTTCAACTCGCACGCCTCCAGGACTGAGAACAGGTTCCAGGGCTCGGCCAAGCAGCACTGCAGGACGGTGACTCAGCGTCGGGGGAACATGGTGACCACATTCACCGACTGCTCCTGAGGCAGCAGCGGCAACAGAACGGCTCACGTCAGAGCCACTCAGGACACAACCAGGACTATTGTTTTTTTTGTTTGTTTGTTTGGTTTTGAAATTGAATGCTAACTTTGTGGCGAAGAGAACATTGTGTGGATCTTAAAAATTCTCTGCTTTTTTTTCAACAAATATCCAAGCTGGTTGAATAAGCAGCTGCTTTTCAAGCAATAACTCATAAAACAGCATAGATGTGAGTACGAATCATTCAGACACCTCCCTCCCCGATTCATTGTTTACTTTGTTTTTCTTTGTGACAAAATCTGATAGACTCTGGTGTGGCCAAAGTTTAAAAGATGATTTAAGTGTTTTTATTTTAGGTCAGTGAGGTAAACGTTTGACATTGTGAAACTTTAATTCTGCAGCGATTTAGGCCGAACTTCTCCATTTATTCTCAATAAGAAGCTAAATTTGACATATGAGCACTTTCAGGAACTTGTGCTGCAGTTGCTTCACGTGTTGTGACATGCGCCGACTGATCTTCATCAACTGTTACCTCATTTTATTTTCTTGTTTTGAGTTTCTTCCCGCAGAGTTGCATCTACTTCCACTCAGTCAGGGCAGGAAATGAAACCTCAGCTCCACGACAAACACTGGTGAGCGGAGCCGCAGGCGAGCGCTGGTTCAAGTCTGGGCTCCTTTGCCGGCAAAGCTGAGCGGTCTGACGAGTTAAGTTTCCCAAACTGATCGGAACGTGCAATATTTAGCACCTTTGCTCCTCATGTTGCCTATTTTTCGAAGGCGGTGCCGCGCGAGCGTCGTCGTCTTGATATGTCTGCACTTTGGATGTGTGAGCGTGTTGTTTTTCTGCCAGTGTGCAGAGAGTTGTTTGCATAATGTTTTGAGTAATTAAAACATTGCAAAAGCAAGTTTGTGTTTGGAAATTTATCTGCTTAATAAAAAAAAGAGTAAAAATCAATTATTTACTGTGAAATACTGACATCGTTTAATGGTATTCGGTAAAGAAATGAAAGTATTCAACTAACAAAAGCTAAGCTAATTTTTAATTTTCTGTGTTTTGAAAGGAGTTTGTTTCATAAAAGTACACTACTTACATGCACATAACTGCGGTTCGAGAAAATTCCAGCAGGGGGTGTACTTTCTCCAAAGTAAAATCAAATTTTATTACCAAACAAACAAAAAAACAAATGTAATACCAAACTCAAAAATATTTGTTTATACACTTATTTAACACTTAATTTCTTAGTGTGTAAA